GAAAATATTAAATCTTTTTTCACCAAGAAAACTTATTTCCATACCACTTTCCAGGTAAAACAACTACTTTGGCTTTTGGATTCCTGTATTATCCATTTTGTAATATGCTGAGAGCGCACGGGTTAAAATACACTGACAGTGGAAAGAAATTTAACACAGACAATATATACAAGTCCATTTTGCAATCAGAATATTGGTTCCCATCTTGCAATCTGATTAATTTCTTTGGCCAACTAGTTTAAATATGGTTCTTGTAAACCTCCAGACTATATGCAGTTACAGCTAACACAATCCAATTGTGGATAAGCTCAGTCACAAATACTTTTATATATATACACACACGCATAAACCTGAACCAGCAAATGTAACTGCATGCAGTTGATACCAGTAAGGCAGTTGGCAACGGGACTTCATTTTTTCACAGAAAAACAATGAGACTTCATTCATTCACAATCTGAAAACACCTACAACAACCAATGAGGGCTACTAGTAATATACAAGGATGATATACAGGAGTTTGGGATTAAATAAATGAAAAGCAGGCAAATAATCTACAATGAAAAAGTTCATGCTTAACAAAAGACAAATAATGAGAACAAAGGACTGACACCAGGAGCTTCTAAATTCATTTTGTAGGTCTTGGAGTAAGAATGCAATCCTTCTACAGTATGATACCAAGTGCAGCAAAGGCATTCCGTAATCAAGTACTGCTCAAAGTAACTCATCTGGCTCAGCTAAGCTCCCAGTGAAGTTTATTTTGCAAGATTCAGGAAACTCAAGTCCAGCCTCCTCACACCCTGCTTTAGTTATAAGGAGACAAGATCGTACGTCTAGATATTCAAGAGACTCACATGACTTCAGAAGTTTCTTAATTCCGTCAACAGTGATCTTTGGACAGTTACTGACCTTCAAAATCTTCATCCCCAGCATAAAGTCTTCGCTTCCTAATTGTTGAAATGCAGCATCAGTTACCTCTTCACAGCAGCCAATGTCAAGAACCTCAAGCTTTTTGCATCCGGAAATGATACAGTCCAACGACGAGTCTGTAATGTTCAAACACCAATCCATCCTCAGTTTCCTAAGACTATTACTACATGCAGCAGCAAGTGACTTCATGGACTCGTCTGATATGTTACGGCAACCACCAATAACGAGTGTCTCAAGATTTTTGCAGTAGCTAGCCAAGGATAAGATTGATTCATCGCCAACTTTGTAGCAATCTAACAACTTCAATGTCCTGAGTGTCAATGAACAAGCTTTGGACACGCTAGATATCCCAATATCACCAACATTGCTGCATTTGTTAATGTCTAAATGCTTTATCCTTCGGCAACCTTCGACCAAAACAGAGAGACCCGAGTTGGTGATGTTGGTGCATCCTTGCAAACCCAGCTCTTCTAAACTATGGCAATTCTTGGAGAGAGCTTCCAGTAATGAATCTGAGACAAATCTACAGCCAGCAAGATGCAAGGTTCTCAAATCACGACACCCCTCAGCAACAGCTGAGAGACCCTTGTCTGTGATCTTTCTGCAGTAGGATATATCTAAGGACTGTAAATAAGAGAGACTGGATCCGATTGCTGCCATTCCATTGTCTGTTATGCCTGTAAAATTTGGACCATAAAATTTCAAGTTAAATTAACTAGAATACTTGAGCACAATTCAGCCTGTGTCTTTTAATCATGATGTTGTGAAAGATCTAAGATGATCGAACTATCATCTCAAGCACAAATTTTCAATAAGATTTTATTCATTGTCCACGATGAAAAACATGCGTGTGAAGGAAAAGGCAGCTTTCAGATTAGCAGCAAAGTTACACTTCTTTTGAAAGTTGGAATACATATGATGTAACTAAATGTCCTCCTTTTTGCTACAACTTCAAAACCACACAGAACAAAAGACATAACCTTTCCACAAACACAAAATTCTACAAATTCACATTTAAGTTTTCTCAAAAAACCTCCCCAAAATTTCTCCCAAAATCCTTCATAAAAATCTAAGTTTATCATTGAAATCCATTATTTACAAAATAGAAAACAGAAAAGGGCAGTCTTTTCCACAATTGGGTCAAAACCATTAGCATTTCAAACGAAAGCTTAGTCAAAACTTTTAAAACTCCTTAACGTCCAAGATTACAGTATCTCCTTTAGTCACCAGATTCCTTTTACTTGTCCACTTTAGCAAATAAAAAGATAATTAATTATTTTTTCCTAATCTTACCCATATCATTAAGTAACCATTGGAGTATTAGTAGTCAAATAAAGATTTTTGCAAACTATTAATAAGGATAATTTAGTACAATAAGCACTTAATGATTTCGCAAGGGGAGGGCAAATTACAAACTGGACAAATAAAAGGAACCCACTAGTCTATCAGGGGTGCATTGGTGATTTAAATTCAACAAATTCAAATGTAAAGACAATTAAAAATTTGACCTTTACAGTTCTGAAGACTGAGGATTTTTAAGCAAGAGAAAGCAGCAGCAATAACGGAAAGATCAGAATCCGTAACGCCTGGGTAGAAAGATCTAGAAACTGACTGACAAAGATCAAGTTCATGCAAGCGAGTAAATCGGGCCGCAATTTTACGGAGCATATGAGGCCCGGCCCGAGCACAAAGTTTCTTCCTTTCAGTGCTTTGAATAAAAAGCCACCGCTTACAGACCAGCCCGAAAACTTCCTTGTCTTTGTCGTCTTCGAGCCGAGATAACACGGCCCGAAGCTCGTCGTCGCCGAGGCTGTCGTTTATACAAAGGCCTGAAACGACGCCGTTGCAGGCCATGTTTGGGAAGCTTATGGTTCTGATCTTCTTGGAAGAAAAAGCAGAAGGGTTTTTTGTTTTGTGTTTGTTTTATTTATAGGGTTTTCGGAATGGGCACATCTACTCCAATATTTGATGGAATAAATAATGAATTATGAGTTGGCTATAAGGGTGTTTGTATAGGAATTGGAATGTGGTGGTTACCGACTTATGAAGCAACAACAACAAACCATGACATAAACATTTGAACTTACATTTTTGTTGATTAATTGAACTAATTTCAACTAACATATAGTATCTATTTTTTGGTAAAATCATTTAATGGGTGAAACATTTCTCAATTCCCAATACTTGATCGCAAAACAACTGGTTAAGACCGCATTGGAGCTCGACTATATTTGGATTCGCGTCGCGTACGGCCCCATCCGGAGAAAGCGCTCCCTACCAAGTATTTTTCCATACCCAGGGCTCGATCCTGAGACCTCTAATTAAGTAAAAAGTAACCACATACACTGCACCACATTCTTTGATGGTACTTGTATATGGATATGACTAGACTATTCTTCATAAACAATAATTGCCATTCCCAACTTAATACTTAACTCACCATCACAATGTGTTAGTACAAGGGTCCCAAAAGTCTCGTACGGTTTACTCAGACACATAGTGTTGTCATCAATCCAAATAAATACATAACATATGTCCTTTATATATATTCTTATTACTCGAACATAGTTCATCAATAAAAATGTTCATCTCAATTTGTTACTTAAGTATAACAAATAAATATGGTTTAATGTAAACGTCGGATGTGTGTAAAGGATGAAAATGAAAGATTATGACCCAAGGAAAAGGATGAAACGCAAGCTCGAACAATTATCTTGACCAACTTAGTTTGAGAAGCAAGACATGAGCAACATCCTAGACCACGGTTCCAACATTGTCCCCCTAGAACCTTGAACTAGGTGAAATTTTGCCAAATTATCCACACGAAAGTACAACTAGATTCAAATTGATTAGAAGTAGGAATCTTAGCTACAAAATGGATAACAACACTCACTTTCTTCACAAGATCTTAAACCACATAAATTCACTTTAGATACAAAGCTTTCATCTTCCTCGTTATCCTATTAACCAAACCATTGTCATCACTTTCAACAATCAACATGATGCTTTGGAAACCAATATCCCTTGATAGTCTGATTCTTCTGAATCTGCATTTACAATATTTACTATATTTGGGTCATTCAGGCGGAGGAGGGTTGCGGTAGGCTAGCAGCCGACGTAAAACTTGTCAATTCATGATTCAGAAGCATAACTAAAATTGCAAAATAAAAGCTTTCCAATAAAAGGACTAGGAGATCCTCATGTTCCCTAGAAACAACATCACCAAATTCCAGCTTTATCAGGTCTCAGCACCCCATGTATCCTAAGCTAAACCTACCAGCAGAAGTTCCTATATTTCAGGAAATACTCAAATCTTGATTCAACTACTCCACATGCGAAGAGACAACCCTCGAGCACATTCAGCAGGACTTATACAGAATCTTTGAAAAGATCTCTGAACAGTCTGAATTCCTTGTACACCAAAAAGAACCACGGAGAAGTAGCAAGAACAGCCTCTTCCCATTGATCTAATTTGTCAAGAAGGCCAACAAGAGAGTCATACCTTTGGTGAAAAAAACATGACGGAACAGGGCAGGAGAACACAATCTCATTGCATATTGCACATTTAGAATTAGCCACAGCAACCCCTCTTTGCTAGATTTAGCTGTGTGTGTAGGATAGCTTACAGAGTCTTTCAAAGAAGAAAAACTTCACTTTAGGAAGTACTACTTGTAAATTCCCATAGCGGCTGCCAACAAGAATTCTGCCTCGACTTAGAAGAGATGCACTCCATTGAATGGGCAGCTTTTAACATTACGGCCAATAAGGCCATATACGACACACAACTTATCAACAAAAAAAAAAGGACCACATCTGAAGCACATATAAGGAAATTGTTCACACTTGAGGAGAAAAACACTTCTCCTTCTGGATCTGTACAACTTAATGCACTGACAAAATGGACAAAGAACATTCATTTTGCTCCCAGAAAAAAGAGCGGTTAACCAGCGAGCTTTTCTCTTATCCCAGCATAATGACATGCTGAGAACCATTTATCAATCTCAATGGCAATTGCATAGTAGCCAATGATTGTTAACTTGTAAAGCAACTTTTGGTCGAAACACTTAGGACCCTGTGCAATAAGATCATCCCTGCTTCCAAAGAAGAAGTAGAAACAATACTTTCCCAAATTTAATTTATAAAGGTCTTACAAGCAAAAATTCATCATGTTCTTCAAGCTCCTGAAATTAATCACTCTATCAATTAATGTGCCATAACAGCTTCTATCCTTTATAAATGTCTGGATCTTGAACACTAGTTTGATCTTCTGCAGTTTCCAAAGAACACTCTTGAAGATTGCTGTAAAATTTCCTTATCCGTGAGACAACATTCCAAATGACCACCCACTAAATATTGAACAAGGTTTTCATAAGCAATGAGGGAATGGTAATGACAATTAGGTAAAACCACTCATCATGAATAAGAGAGTATAAGTCTAGAAGGAGCACACCTTATAGATAGAGACCCAAACATGCTCATAATAAGTGGTCACAAACAGTGGCTATAGACATTGCATTCACTACTTTTGCAGAGTAAACTAAGAAAACAAAGTGTTTCCTTTTCATAGTTATTTAAGATTTTTAAAAGATACGAAACATATTGTTAGGAAAAATGAGTAAATACTGTGTGTCCTCTTTAACAGTTGAAAATTTTAGATGAAACGGTTCACAATTTTCACAAATTACAAAAGCATAGAAGGAAATGGACAACTCAGGCACTAAGGTCATTTCATTGGCAAATAGACAATCAAGTACAACAGGAATATAATCAAGGAATTGTCACTAATTAGACCAAATCCAAAAACACTCGAACAAAGAAATTCTAACTCAGTCTACTTTTAGTGATATAACAACATCCATTATGTATGGTAATGATTAAAGGTCACTTCTTAATGAAATGTGCTATTTTCTTGCACATTTATCATCTCGATTCTGTTCATACTACCATATTCTTGGCATTCAGAATGTAACAGTAAACTCAACTATGTTCCCACCAAAAGTATGTGAATTGCGCAGCAATGTACCATAAAGAAAGACTGAAGGACATTCAGAAATGGTCGCACTAAAGAATTATAAGGAATGAAATTACATAATTTGAACCCCATCAAACTATTAACTACCAAAGTCAATACCCAATATTTTTAAGTCTCGAGAAGTAATACAGGTAAAATTAGCTACCTCATAGCATTCCAAATGAATATCAGTTGTATTAACTGTGACTCTGCAGGGTACAACATTCTCGTCAATCGAAACTGAACAATTCTCATAAAGACCTTCCTTGGGTGCAAGATTCAACAAACAAGACTTTGGAGCTGACAGCCTATTTTTCTCACTAATAAATCTTTCTTGGTCCTCCATCAGTAAAACAAGACGATGGTTGCGACCTAACAGCTCTGACACATATTTCATGTCTCCCTTGTCAAGGGCATACCTAACACGAGTAGATGATACTTGCCCTCTCTCCTTTTTTTCGCGAGAGTTTAAGTCTCCAGAAATTTGATTCTTGTCCATGACAGAATTGATTATATAAGCCTCTAATCCATACTCTTCACAGAGCTTCACAAGGTCCGATGCATCACCAGAAGCTCTATATCCAAAACGATAGTTTTCGCCTGAGATCATCAAGACATCCTCATATATTCTTTTCTTTTCTTAGTTTATATTGGAATCTCTATGTCAAGTTAGGATGTAACAACATACCAGCAACAACTCCTCGCACTCCCAGCTCTTTGGACAGCTTCTCCACAAACTGACGAGGCGTAAGAGATCGAACTTTGGAAAATTTTATCTGGAATTCCCTTGGGATTACATTACCGCAATAAGGAGCCCAAGATGAAAGAATCCTTTTGCGATCACAGTCAGCAACAATGGGAGCCCTGTGTAGAAAATATACACAAAATTATGCAATGATTCTTTCTCATTTCATGATGTAGCATTTCATAAAGACCACTAACTAAAGAAGGAACTACTCAACACGCTTGAGTAAGATTAGGAGGATATGTTCAGCAGATTATAAACACCTTCCAGCTTCATAGACCAAATTTTATAAACCATGACTTTTCCTATATACTACTTGAGCAGAATAAAGTTCGATAAATATTTTATTTTCAAGGAGCAAATACATGAGGTTAAGGATATCCTTTGAATTTAAGATGGAGGAACTTTTACTAGTCACCAAAAACAGAAAAAAGAAAAAAAAGGACATCCACTTAAGTTTTCCTGTGGGAATATACACTGTTGCAGGAATTAATTGATTTAAGCCAAATACATATGCAGCCCCTTATACTTGTCCAATTTTATCATCTAGACACCTAAATTAACTATTGAGCCTATTGAATACTTGAACTTGAGCCAAACTGTGCCTATGAGACACAACTCGCTGACATGGCACGTAGCGTGTCTTTCACCCGAAACTACGCGCATTTTACTGAAAAAGATATGAAGTTATCATCGGTAAATTGATATTTCGGCTATTTCTGACAACTGCTATTTTCCGTCATCTTCTCCGACTCATTTTCCTCTTCTTTTTTAGACTCCATACCAGATTCAAATCCAATAAAGTATTTCATCTTCTTCTTATTTATCCTATAAAAAGCCTATCAAACACCACTCCTCTCCATCATTCTATTCAGACACCATTCTCTTTTCTGACCCGTCTAAATAATACGCGCCGCCTTCATCAGAAAACGGCCCATGATATAGCCAAGGAAAAATACGTCAACTGACCCATTCTCCCTCAAGAATAATAATAGTCGTACCTTTTTAGCAAATTTTCAAAATCTTATTTTTTAAACAAGAAAGCTACTATACAAAATTCTAAATGAACAATACAGGAGTAATATATACATTCACGTATTATCTATAAATCCATCACTTAGGGGAGAGAGGTTAGTTGATGGAATCTTTGTGTATGTAATGGTAATTTGTGGAGGAAGGGTGTGATCTGGTGCCTATCTGTTGATGCCATGGGGGTGAGATTCCTCGGTGGTGGAACAATGGCAAACCAGGATGGTGTGTATTTGTGAATGGAAGAAGAAGAAGAAAGGGATAAAAGGGGGATCTGAATGTTTCAGCAATTTGTGAACTCAAAATGTGACTTACCCCCCAAAATAACCTTTCTCCAAAGATGACTCAATCGAGCTTGGAGATGACAAAAATGATGATTCATTGATACTGGCGACAAGGCAACTTTATCCGGTGAAAATGGAGTCGCCCGGGCAGTTGACGGGGATTCAGGGTCAATCTGGGATGAACTTGTTTTTGCCAGTGTCGGGGAGATGATAATTTGATAACAAAGAAAACGTAATTCCGGTTGGTATTGTCCCCTCTGTTTCCGGTTACTGTTTCCTTTTTTTCCTCCAGCTATTGACTTTTTCCTTATCTAACATGGCTCTTTTTTATGGGTCATATTTGCTACATACAGAGTGGTACTCATGTGTTGAACTTAGTTTAGATTGTAAAATATGTGTTCAATTGATACAGCTCGAATATAGGTGAAGTGCTCAACAGGTACAAGCATTAGTTCAGGTGTCTTAATGGGAAAATAGGGCAAGTTTAAAGGGCCATCTATGTATTCAGCCAGTGATTTATTTCTTTAATTTATCCTTTTTGTTAAAACTTGAATTAAAAACATATGGTTATATTTGCGTGCTCTTTGCACATACTCTGAACTGATCATCCTATTAACAGAAATTCCTAAACTAAAGAGTGCAAATCAACAAATCTACTGCTTCGGAGAAAGAGCATCCGTAGGTCCACGGAATTACGCTAAAAATAGAGGCATGAAGGTGCAGTATTGCTACAACTTAGAGGTTGCAAAGAGACAGTGCACATTTAGAGAATGCGAGATTGAACTCCCTGGTTGAACTAGGTACTATTACAGGTTTGGGTGTAGCAGCGAGAGTTGAGTCGAAGTTCACCATTCTCTACTTTTCTGGTCTTCCAGGGAGAGAATATTTCTCTATTAACATTCTATTAGAGTAGAGTAAAGGAGAAGAGAGAACAGAAGTTATACCTCGGTTCCCATCCAAGTACTTCCGCCATTCCAACAAATGAAAGAAGAAATGGAATTCCTCTCTTAGCTGCTTGGATTGCAAGCTCACGATGACCAATATGGAGTGCATCAAACTTCCCCAGAGCTACTATCCCACCTATTGAAATGAAACCAATGATCGAGAATTTACACATAAATGATATCCAAGAATCCTCTATTTCTTCTCATTTACAACACAAATTAGCAAGTGGAATTGAAACTCTTTTTTTTATATTGATGATAAGCAACAAGTAGAAATGAAACTCACTAATCTAAAAATGTAATTGTAGGTCCAAAGTAAATTTAGAATAAAATTTGCAGATTGACCATTCAACCGTTCACAGCTAGATTATCCCTATTTCTTTTTATACAAAAATAAGTGCACGGTATGGAAAGAACAGGTCTAAAGTGTTAGCAAAACAAATTGAGGAAAGAATGGACAATATTTCCCTTTATAATGACCCGTGTTGGAGCATGTATCAATGGCTTTCACTTTTTCTTTTCTATGATCTTGTGGTCAAATTTCCGTCAGAGGAGGGCATTAAACTGAAGCTTTCACAGGGTCATACATACCCTTCATGTTACCAATATCTCTAGGTGTGCTTTGGTGAGAGAAATTTTCCCTAACCTTGAAATGGAAGTTATCCAAGAACATAAAGACAAGATATCCTTGCAGTATATTTTGTAATTTCCTGAAGTGATTGCAGGAAATTTGATGGTTGATCATTTATTGTGTGAAATTTCATGTTTTGATAAGATAGTTGATCTCCAGCTTATGTTAGAACTGAAGTAGAAGAGCCTTCCATTATTGCAGGAAATCTTGTTATCCTCTTTCCCCATTTTCTTTAGAGAACCAGGAAGAGAAAAAGAAAAAAATTACAAAAGGAAAGAACGAGCAGAATTATGAAATAAGAATGGCTGATAACAGTTGTAGAACAAGGTATCTGTGTAGCACTTAACCACTGAAGAAACTTAATGATTTACAATAAATGATAAAAAATGGAATTGATATATATTCAGCATACATGTAATACCATTCAACAATATTATTACAAGTAGTACATGGGTTAGAGCACACCTGCAAGCATGGACAATCTTTCTGATGGAGGCTCCTCATCTTTTCCAGATTGGCTTTCCATGAAAATTGTGAAGAAAACACATATAAGCACTGGGATTCTAAAGTAAGTCATATTTTAGAATACAAAACGACATTACAATGTCAATGCAATGGAATAAAGAACTCTGACATAGAATTAATGGAAACCCGACCTCGGTAGGCTTCATTTAAACATAAAATGGAAACTACCGGCAAAATCCATGTCCAGATGAAACTATTTAAATGTATAACCCTCTCATTTAAAAACTTATAACAATTAGAAGGAAGACAGTCTTATTTATTTGTTTTAGGTCTACAACATGCTCTCTCATGTGCACAGCCTGAATCTTTTTAGACGCCGGAATATTTTTATAGATGACACGCAACGAGATTCAAACACAGGCATGTGTCTGCTCTGTTATCCGGTTGAAGCGTGTGAATCTGCTCATCTAAAACTTTAAACTGTCTGAGAGAACGCCTACTTATATAATATTCCAACAAACTTATCATATTATTTTCGTCAAAAATGTAATCCCAACTTAATGTTGCAATAAATTTTCCACTTCAATCTTATTGCAGTTATAAAAGAAAGTCTCCTTCCAGTCCTTCTTTCACTAACTCTATTTGCAAGAATAATGAGCTTACAAATATTTTATTTTATTTTAAACTTACTTTTCTACACTTTACTTTTAAATGACAAAAAGGCTTAGAAATACAAGTGAAAAGAAAATTTATCTCAAACTATTAGAAAGCAAGGAGCTATGGATTGTGGTTGCACATAATGTATAAAACAGACCCCAAACTTACTCAATTTTTATTCTTTTAATATCGAGAAATTCCTGAATAATAACGAGCCTCCTCCTCTACCCTTCCTCACTTAGATACCAAAATCCACTGCAGGGTTTGAATCATGTGCTGCACTCTTACCACTAGATCAAAGCTCACTCGATTTATTGCTCAAACAAGAACAGCTATTATAAGTACCTCAAACTTTCAGAAAGTGAAGAGCTTTAGATATTCTGAAGACTTGGGTTTTACACTCTTCATAAAAAGTACCCCCCCAAAAAACTAAATGTACAGCTCAAATTTACTCCCAAAAAATCACTAAATTTACTGCTGAAAGAGTAAAGGATGTTATAAATTTATCTCAAACATTCAGAAAGCAAAGAGCTTTGAATATTCTGAAGATTTGGCTAGTACACAATTCAAAGAAAGTACCCAAAAAACTAAATTTACAGCTCAAATGTACACCCCAAAAGATCACTAAATTAACAGCTCAAATTTAAACCCAAAAATCACTAAAATTGCTGCTGAAAGAGTAAAAGATGTTATATAATCTACCTCAAACTTTCAGAAAGTAAAGAGCTTTGAATATTCTGGAGATTTGGCTAGTACCCAAAAAGACTAAATTTACAGCTCAAATTTACGCACAAAAATCATTACAATTAATGTTGAAAGAGTAAAAGATGTTATAAGATTTACCTCAACGTTTGAGAAAGCAAAGAGCTTTGGGTATTTGAAGAATTGGGCTGAACACAACTGACCCCAAAATCACTAACTTTATTCCTTAATCTGAATCTGAAGTAGGTGAATGAAGAAGTTGAGATTGGTGGAGAAGCAGCAGTAAAAATGGGAGTTGTGGAAGTGCAAAATTGGTGAAAATTAGTGTCTCTTAAGTGCTGGGATATACAGCGAGACCCACCCAACATTCTTATTTTTCATCAGAAGAAGAATATGGAAATGGGTGTTGGCCTATTTCTGTAGCATTTTTGTTTTTTGTTCTTCTCCTTCTTAAAAAGCCTATCGCGTGGGCATATTTGTATCGATAGTTTTGATTCTCCTTTTTGGTTCCTTTTTCTTTATTTTTCTTTTGTTGGGGAGAGAGAAGGGTGGGCTGAGGAATTGAATAATTTATGTTTTACTAATCTAATCCACGTGTTATAATTCATGTATAATTTGTTTTTATATCATACGATCCCTAAGAACATCGCTATATTATGTTTTGAAAAACGGAAAAGGGCCAAAAATGCCTTAACTATCTCAAATAGCTCAAAAAATTTCTCTGTTTTTTTTTTTTACCAAAAATACCACTGCCGTTTATATTTTGGACCACAAATACCCTTAAACTGTTAGTCTTGTCATTGAAGGTGACATGACAGTTCAACTGGGTTAGATTTGCTTACATGGACATCCACCTAAACAATTCAACATGGCAAAATTATTTTTTCGGAAAAATTATTTTTCCGAAATTTTTTTTAAAATACAAAATCCAACACTTATTCCGGAAAAAGTAAAAAAAATCTGGAAAAATTATTTTTCGAAAAAATAATTTTTCGAAAAAAATATTTCTCCGAAATTTTTTACTTTATTCGGAATAAGTGTAAAAAATTCTCGGAAAAATTATTTATTTCGAAAATTTTTATTAAAATACAAAATCAACACTTATTCTAAAAAAAAAGTAAAAAGTTTCCGGAAAAATGAAAAAAAAAAATTTCATTTTTCCAGAATTTTTTTTACTTTTTTCGGATTAAGTGTTGATTTTGTATTTTAAAAAAAATTTCGGAAAAAAAAAATTCCGAAAAAATAATTTTGCCATGTTAGATTGCTTAGGTGGATGGCCATGTAAAATCTAACCCAGTTGGATTGCCATGTCACTTTCAATGACAAGTCTAACAGTTTAAGGGCATTTGTGGTCCAAAATATAGACGGTAGGGATATATTTGGTACCAAAAATAAACGGAGGACATTTTTGAGCTATTTCAGATAGTTCAAGGGCATTTTTGGCCATTTTTCGTTTGAAAAACTATATAGCGGTCTCTCCGTTCTAGTTTGACTCGATACGGAGTTTAAGAAAAAAAAGACTTTTAAAACTTGTTATCTTAAAAGTTTAAGGGGTAAAAGTTTTGCGGACCCAAAATATTATGGTTATAAAATTTTCTCATAAAAAATGTGTCATTCTTTTTTAAACGGACTAATAAGAAAAGTGTGTCGTCTAAATTAAAATAATATTAAGTATTAAAAGCTAAACAAGTCTGATATAAAATAAGGTGAAACTACATTGTTTAATTCTGAAAAATAAAATTTGGAAGAAGAAAAACCACCTTTTTGTTTTGGACATCTTGGTTCTGTTTTGATTTTTGCATATGGAAGAAATAATTAATCAATCTAACAGTCTATTTGTGTAAAATGCCTAAGATACTTGAGAAATATATATTTTTAATCGCTAAAAAAATAGATTTTAATATATATATATATATATATATATATTTCATATGCTTTTTTTGATTAGATGATGCAATTAATTTCGGCCGGCAAACTAATTTTTTTATATTTTCGGGTGGAGAGGCCCAAGCTAGGGAACGATAAAGAAAGGCCCAGTGTTTGGAACTCAAAGGTAAATACTCTATTGTTGAGCGGACAGCACGGGGACACAACCTCAATATTCACGTCGCCGCCGTCGCTTCTCCGGTCTAGGTTTCCGATCATGAGCTCGTCCTCCAATCAACTTCCGCCACTTACACTTCGCACCGTTTCTATATCATACTCCGATCTCAGGGACAGAAACGCTGATTTATCGGCAAAAATAGAACAAGGTTTTGGGCCAAATGGTCTTGGAATTCTCTCCGTATCAGAGGTTCCTGGTTATTCATTATGGCGTAAGAATCTCCTCCAACTTGGCCCCAGGTTAGCTAACCTTCCCGAAGATGTGAAAATGAAACTTGAAGATCCTAATAGTAGGTATAACTTTGGATGGAGTCATGGAAAAGAAAAACTCGAATCAGGAAAATTAGATCTTTTAAAAGGATCTTTCTATGCAAATCCAATACTAGATGTACCTACTACAGAACAATCCCTAATTGAACGGTATCCATCATATTGCGGGTCAAATATTTGGCCTCGTAACGTTTTGCCCGAACTTGAAACAGCGTTTAAAACCCTTGGAAAGTTGATACTTGATGTAGGATTGCTCTTGGCTTATCACTGTGATCGCTATGCAATGCTAGAGGGTACTGACTGCGGACTTGAACGTACACTAGTCCGCTCTAGATGTCATAAAGGTCGTCTGCTTTACTATTTCCCAGCGCAGCATGGGCAGCAGACTAGTGCTGCCTGTGATTCCATGTCATCTTGGTGCGGATGGCATACGGATCATGGTTCACTTACAGGTCTTACACGTGGCATGTTTTCGAGAAATGGTGTAGGAGTGGTTTGCCCTGATAGTGCTGCTGGCCTTTACATAAGAACGCGAACTGGTGAAATAGTTAAAGTGGAGTATGGGGAGGATGAAATAGCATACCAAATAGGTGAAACAACTGAGATCCTCTCAAGTGGTCGGCTTTGTGCGACACCACATTGTGTTCGGGCACCAGAGGGTGAGGGTGATGCTGCAGTTGGTGTTGATCGTACAACGTTTGCATTATTTATGCAACCTGATTGGGACCAAAAGCTTAATTTTCCAGAGGAGGTGCATATTCATCGGGAGTTGATTCAATCCAATGGATCTCTTACTTTTGGAGAATACACTGAGAAGCTCCTTGACAAGTACTACCACCTCAAGATTTAATTGAAAGCTCAGTTAGTTGTTATGAGAGTAGTAGATTTGAAAAGCTCCTTCACTCCTCTGACACTTGCTTATAATTGGGATGTTATCTTCTGAAATGGGGTTTTGACATTCTGATAAAGATAGGAAAAAAATGTTGGAAGCAGCCAATGTAGTACAAGCTCTTGTCCTTACAAAAGCTAGTTGATTAGGTCTTGGTAAATCATGCTTTCAACATCTTCATGTACTCGAAAGAACCAATTTTTGATGTATATGTGGAATAGTAGCAATTGGTTTACCCAAACTAAAACTCTATTCTCGAGCTTCTTTCAATTCTAGAAAACCTTTTTTATTCCAAATGCTTTCATAAAGCATTTGAAAGCAGACACCCTCATAAAATGAATTGCAACTGCCTTTCTCTGACAACTATGCTAAATTTACCATAAACTTGCAGAGGAATGGCAATTCTTCAGAAGTTCACTTGCAAAAATAGGTCCTTTCGCTCTTCGTACATTGTCAACTAAGCAAAATTCCATGTACAGAGAATTAAATACAAAGCAAGCTGCGTTGTAATCTACACAATGTACTTTTACAAAGGCTTTACAGTATACAGATTAGATTTCTTCCAAGTTCAAATAATGAGATCAACTGGTAACTCAAGCTGCTTGCAAAGGTGGTAACAATCTTTTGCAGTCTAACCGAAACAGACTAGTTCAAGGGAAAGAAAAAGTGATATAGGAAAGATGAACATGTGATGTTCGTTAAGTAAGAAATGTTATGATGACATTTCAGTAAATTACATTTGCTAATGTGTTTCTGCCTCTGTCTTCCTGGGCAGATGGGCTGGGATACATAAAAAAATTAACCAACTGCATTTCACTCTCAAATTAGTTGGGATTGACTATATGAATCTTTTGTATACTCTCTAGTCTCTATAGAGAGGTACCGGAAGATGGCATTTTCCATAAGTCACTTTGAACATCATGCAACGGCAGCAAGTATAGGCTCTTCCAATTCTTCAGATGAGGAAGAATCTGACATGGCCTGCTCCTCATCAGCAGTCAAATGACCAACATTCGGGACATAGCCAGAGAGCTTCATCAGTTTAGTTAGTGTATTCAATGTCAGATATATCTCTTTTTTCCGCATATGTCTCCTATCTTTTACCATGAAAACATGAACCTGGCTTTCTATTTCAATCCAACTGCAACCAGGCTGTTTAACAACGCCACGCTCTCTCATAAGTTTTCGGACCATTTTGACATCTTGCCATCTCCCCTGTTCAGCATACATGTTTGATAGAAGAACATAGGGGCCAGAATTTGTAGGATCAATCTCCAGAAGCTTCTCAGCCACATACTTTCCCAACTCAATTTCCCTGTGAATTTTACATGCAGCAAGCAAAGACCCCCATACCACACTATCAGGAGACATTGGCATGGATTCAATCAAATCCTTTGCCTCTGCTAAGCAGCCAGCCCTGCCAAGTAAATCGACCATGCATGTGTAGTGGTCCTTCAACGGTGACAACCCATACTCTGTGCTCATGGAATAGAAATGTTGACGCCCCTCCTCAACCAATCCTGCATGACTACAAGCACAAAGAACCCCAATCATAGTCACATGGTCTGGCTTCTCTCCGTATACCAACATAACCTTGAAAGTTTCAAGAGCTTCAATAGCATGCCCATTTTGTGCATATCCAACTATTACGGCATTCCACGAAACCCAGTCTCTGTCCAGCATTTTGGTGAATACACAGCTACCATCTTCAACTGATCCACATTTCATATACATGTCTATGAGAGCATTTCCCACAAAGACATCAGACTCAGGTCCATTCTGAAAACTAAATCCATGCTTCAAAATATGTGCATGAGCCTGCCTGCCAAGCTTCAGATCAGCTAAACTTGCACATGCGTTGAGGAGATTCCCAAATGTATAATGAGTTGGCCAAATAGACTCTCTTTTTAGCATAAGAAAGAGATTTAATGCCTCCTCATTGTCCCCGTTCTGTGTGTATCCAGCAATAAGAGCATTCCAAGACACAACATTCCTTTCAATCATCCCTGAAAACATGGCTCTTGCAGTCTTCACACTTGCAACTCTCGCATAACCACTTACTAAACAGGTGTGTGACACCACGCTTCTGACTGGCATCTTATCGAAAATCCACCTAGCTTCATCAATTCGCCCAAACTTTGAATACATATCAACCAATGCATTGCATATAATAAGATCATCCCTAAGCTTATTCGACTTCACAATCCGGGCATGAATTTCCTTACCTTCTCTTATTGCACCCAAACTCGCACAAGCACTTACTACACTTGCCAAAGTCTTCTCATCCGGTTTATACCCAAAGTCCATCATCCTAGCAAATATCTCAAGTGCCTTGCTTGCTGGCCCATTTTGCTCATAACAAGAAATTAAACTATTCCACGACACCACATTACACTCACTCATCTCATTAAACGCCTTTGTTGCACAATTCACATTACCCGTTTTCGCATACATATCAATAAGCGCAGAACCCGTGTAAACATTGTTTGAATACTTGGATTTAGCAACCGAGGCATGAATCTGAGTTCCCATTTTCAAGTCCCTTAACCCTGCACAAGCACTTAAACCACTACCATAAGCATACTCATTCAAAACAAAATCTTCTTTGTGCATTCTCGCAAAATACTCTATTGACGAATCACACAATTCACATTGTGCAAAGCTTGACACCATCAAGTTCCAAGAGCATTGATCAGGCTCAGGCATTAAGTAAAAGACTTCCTCGGCCTCAACAAGCATTCTTGATGCCGTATAAGCATTTATCATTGAGTTCCAAGTGAAGGTGTTCTTTTGGGGCATTTTATCAAACACCTTCTTGGCACACTGCAATTCACCACATTTCCCATAAGCGTCAATAAGCTTGTTGTTGATGAAGACCTCTGAACTGAAATGGGTCTTCAGAATACGGCCATGGACAGCGCGTACGACATGTTGGGACTTTGAATTGATGCAAGAGTCTAGAATCTTTGCGAGCGGTGTAGAGTCTGGGAGTGAAAAGAGGTTGCAAGTAATGAGATTTTGAAATAAAAATGTCTTCTTTGCCATTTGGCATAGGATCTAAGGAAGATTGGGTGATGGGCATGTTGCTCAGAAGAACATCAGATATTCCAACACAATGAACGTTGTTCCGAATAGTTTATGCACAGATTTCAGTATTGTCTCGGTTAACCGGAAAAAAATTGGTTGGAGCTTTCCCTTTTTAACGAGTTTTAGGCCGGCAAATTCAAGGGAAAAAGGTCAAAATTGTCCCTTTACTATCGAAAATTAGTCTAGTTTATACCCATTTCTACTTTCGGTCCAAATATACGCCTACTTTATTCATGTTATTTTTCTCATTCTTTTTCTTTTCTGTTTCAACATGACCCCACCCCTCTTTTCTGTTCCAACATCTATTGAAAATCTATCTGCAATTTACAGTCTACCGCAGTCCTTTTGTTCCATAGATTATGGTGGGTTTTGATAGCAACTATAATAGTGGTGAAAGCGGTGGGTTTTGATTGAATTTCATGGTGGGTCTCCATTGGAGATGGTGAATAAGAGCAGTGGGCAATAGAACTTTTTTATGGTGGGATGAAGTGAGGTGATGATCAGCTATAAAAGTTGTGGTGGCTTTGGTGAAAGAAAGTGGTGGACCGGTGAAGCGGCGGCTGTTTTGATGAAGGTGCAGGCGGCGATGGCGGCCGGTGGGGGTTGGGTAGGCTGTGACTACAACTTTTTACACGGTTCATCATTAGATATATAAAACCTCAAGTTCTTTATGTTCATGTTTATAGATCTGAGATACTTTTAGGCTTTCATTTCTCTTTTCATCTGTTTATTCATTTTTCTGATCTTCAACTCTTCACAAGAAGATGGTAAACGGGAAGGGAGGGGTCAAAGAAATGGGCATGGGTCAAAACAAATGAGCATGGTCTACAATTCGGGTTGGTATTTGCCCGGTTGGCACATTAAGTGAGGGGTCCTTGCACGTTAGAAATCTGTTAGGGGTAGGGACGATTTTGTATATTTTACTAACGGTAAGCGTATATTTGGACTGAAAGTAACAACGTTAATAAATGCAAAGGAGTTTCAAAATAATCAAATGACAACAAAAAGTCTCGAGAAGTGACTTAAAAGCACTAGTCTACTACATATGCTCAATTTACTCATTTTGGGATACATCAATGTCACAAATCTATCCTAATTCATGTGCCCTCACAAGAAAGAAAGTCCAAAAATCACCATATTTACAATAACAATACTAGGGACAAATGCACAAAGACACTCACTCTCAACAAAAAATTTCAAGTGTTACAAAATATCATTATTTTAATTCGCCGCCTATTCAAGAACATTCAGTTGGAGATCCCAAAAGGACTTTTTAAGATTGTAATGTAGGTTTCGGGAAGGGTCGAATAAGCATTTGGGATACAAGTGACTACATCCTCCTTGAACACTACTCACATTTGTCTTTCTTTTTTTTGAACACTACTCACATTTGCACTTTGCTTCTTTTTAAACCACATCGCCCTTATTGGCATCTAGTTACCAACATGGAACCACCTTAAAATACCTCTCTAATTTTCTCAAGACTCCATATTTATATATATACATATTTTTCTCTTTTTCTTTTTTTTATATATATAGCTATTTTCTTTTGGAGCTTGAGTAACTTCATATGAACAACTTTGAGGTATATGTTTCTACCCTCAATGTACAATCTTACCAATTTCTAACTTGACACCAACACCCCCAACTTAGGCTTCTAGCCTCATTCTCAATATTCAAGGAGGGACGGGTTCAAAAGAGGGAATTATTTCACAAAAGGGTAAAGGTTTGTAATGAGGTGGCCAAAGAAAAAGTTAAAGGCTCAAATGTGGGTAAACTAGTGATAATATTTATGCAATGGTAGGCTTGAAAGGTTAAAGAGGCTTTTTCAAAGATTACAAAGAATGCCTAAGGTCATCCCTCCAACCAAACATACTTAACATTAGCATTGAAAAACCAATCGGGCAAGTTCTAGATGATAGAAGTAAATAGAAGAATTATTTATAACCAAAACTAACACACATGGAACATGAACTAATCAAGACGGATCAATTTCACTTCTTGCTAAAAGAATTTAGAGCAATATCATGCCAACTAGTGAGCAAAGAGTCACCAAATGAGCCAAAAAGTTGTCACACAAATTATTCTTCCCCATGCAACTTACTTTTTCAATTTAAAACCAAAATGCGGAGGGGTATTCTTAATTTACACTTCACATACAAAAGATTAATTTTGTTAGTATCAAATAATCCAAAAGTCTCCACATAACAAAACAAGACTAATTCCCTTAAGAAAGTCGTCACGCCATCCGTCATAGGAAAAAGCCACCCGATTCAACAAATAAATATTCCATGGGAAAGAACTATAGCATAAAGAAAACCCAAGGACATTTATTGAAAATGTATATTTAAGAAAGTCTCTTGTAAGAGCACATGATAATCAATAACAAAACAAGCCCGGCAAGGGCACACAATATCCATACCACATATAAACCCGGCAACGGGAAATATATAGCATCAATGTACGAATAAAGTATACTCTCTAAAGCCACCCCCCAACTAAAAACATTGCAGTGTCCTCACTTCATATTATTAAGTTATTTTGTTGAGATTCACATGCTTAAGCCTAATTATTAGTACCAACCAAATTCATAAGTATGGTGCTTAATTGGAGAATATGATTTGTGTATGATAACAATGCCACTTGTACTTTAAATGGTAGAACCTCATTGAATTGTTAGTTTTGATTTGCTTGAGGACAAGTAAAAACTTTAAGTTGGGGATGTTGATGAGTGGTGATTTCACCACTTATTTTAGTCTCTTTTATTTAAATTTTGTATCCTTTAATTATAATATGAGGTTGTTTATGGTGTGTATTGCTAGATTTTCAGGTAAATGATGCCATGTAGAGAGTTGAATTTAATTGAAGTGGAATTGAGCAAAAAGAGTACAAAAGTGCAAAATCCTTCAGTGATTCCGCATCTGCGGAACACTGTCCGCAGATGCGACCTCGCATCTGCGAGGTGAAAGGCCGCATCTGCGGAGTTAAGCTTCTTTCACTGGGATCGCATCTGCGGCAAGAATCCGCACCTGCGGAGTCGCTGGTGTGACTATTTGGTCTGTATCTTCGGAGAAGGGAATTCCACATAGGCTCGCATCTGCGATGATGTATCCGTATCTGCGGAGTCGCATTTGCGCCAAAAATGTCCGCATCTGCGGAGTAGGCAATCTACTGAGTTTGCGCATCTGCGATTGAAGGCCCGTATTTGCGGAGCCGCACCTGCAAGGATCCTTCCGTAGGTGCGGTCAACGGGCTTCAGACCTGGGCAGTAGTGACATTTCATATTTTCTCAACTCCAAACCCACAAATACACGACCTAGCTAATCTTTGGCAGATCTTTGGCTTATTTTTCAGTTCTTAGATTAGAGAAGATAAGTTTTGGAGTAGGGTTCTTGCACACACACTTGGGTCTTGAAGATTTGAAGCTTTTAGTGAGAACTTCTTACTCATTTATGCTCATTTCTTCATTTTCTTGCTTTGTATTGAATATTTAAGTGTGTAGTATTTTTTCCAACACTTGAATCTTGTTTATGAGAATATTCACATTTAAAGTGTGGATTAAATACCTTGTTGTGCTTATGTATTGAATGATTTTTATTTATTATGAAGTGAGTTATTGTTTCATTAATTATTTTTATTCTTGAATGTTTCCAAAGGGATTAACTAACCCTAGGACTCATCCATTTACTTCGGATTAATTTTGGAAAAAATAGTTCGGGGATGTGAAAGATTAATTAACAAGAACTTGAGGCATTAACCATCACTTTATAGATTCTACCTAGGGATAGGAATGGACTACTTGTAGCTATATTCAGGTGTGCTTAATCTCTTAATTATTTTAGGAACAATTCAATTAGGAAGTCTTGTTAGTCTTCGAGAGAAGCTAATATAGAATTATTATCCGAGGCTAATAAATAATAAATTTGCTCATATTTATAAAATTGTGAAATATATTGGATTGTTACTTGAGTGTAATTCTCGATGCATCCATGCTTGTAGCCATTGATCATTTTACTTGCTTTCTAGGTTACTTTACATTTTCGCATTTAGATATAAATATTTTCTCAAATCAATTCTAAGTGTTTGGCATTGCACAATAAGTGATAATTCTCTTACATTCCTAATCGCCTACATATTGTTCTCTGTGGGATTCGACCCCGGCTCATAGTTGGGTAAATTATATTACATGCGACAGTGTTCATTTACTTTTTAGTAGTGAATTTGGACGTCATCAAAATCGGTGCCATTGCCGTGGAACAATTTTACGTATTTAGGTCACATTTGGCGTCATCACGAACAATTTAGCGTCATCAAAATGGCACACGTATATGAGGTCACATGTTCATTTGGGTCAGTTGTCCCGTTGTACTTAGGAATTTCAGGCATACAGAACTTCTTAGGGATTTGCTTCGGAGCTGCGCTCGGAGGGAAAGGTTTTTGAACGAACTTCTTGGAATCCAGGCCCTTTAATATAGGCGGTGCTCCTGGGATCTGATCGACCCTAGAATTATAGGTTTCCACCTTTTTGTCATTGCTTCGGTTTTCTTTTCTCTTGTTTCCACACGCCTTTTCAATTCCTCGATCATCTTTATTATCTCGAGGTTGGTCCCGGGTTCAGCTTCATTTGGCCTATTTGCGGCTAGTTCATTTCTACGAGTGCTCTCCCGGGATGATCCGGGCTCGACCCCACTAGGAGCGCGACTTTGGTTTTGCAGCTGGGCTATCGCTGCCTGCTGAGCTTGCAGCATTTTGAAGATCACCCATAAGTTGATACCATCTCCCTCACCGTCACGAGCATTTTGGGCTACTGACCGGACTCCCCTGCGGACGCTATTCTCAGGATCGGTGGAAAAATTCGTGTTGATGGCCACATGTGAGCTGGCGTCGATCGGGTCCGTGACCGAGATTCCGTTGGGATCGGCAAGGGGCACCCCGTTATCAGGCGCTATATTGTTATTCTCGCCATGGTGGCTAGACTCAGCATCCGTGTTTAGAGGGGTAGATTGGGAGTTCGGCATTCTCAACGCAGACCTGAAATCAAAGACACTTCAAAAAACAAGTGTGAAGTAGGGTGTGTTATGAAAATTTGTATCAAATTGCCACTATTATCCTTAGCCACACGGTGGGTGCCAGATTGTTTACCCTCAAAATCGGATAACAATTAAATTTATAAGTGGTTTTGAGGATACACGAATTAATTTGATACAAAGCGATAGGCACATGATTAATACCTGAACAAAATCAATCCACTGCATATGGAGATCATATAGTAGCGATACTTGGAGGACGATGCGGACTTCAACTCTGCGGTGGAGATGTTTGGAATTCATTTTAGACTATGGACAATATACCCTGGCGCCTGGTGAGAGCTTGATAGGTGCTGCTTGGTATTTGCCAATGACAATTGGATTCACATACACTAATAGGAGAAGGAAGCATTCAACTTATCATGTTGTAATAGTTCGTTCATTAGATTTTAGCTTTTCTATCTTTTTAAATAGCTAGTAGTTTCATGCAACTTCTATTTTGATTTTTGGTTTGGACAGCTTGTAAGCATTGGACCCATTTTTGGGATTTTATTTATATATTAGCCCTTAGGCAAAAAAAAAAAGAAAAAAAAAAGGTCAAATTGAACAAACAAAGATAAAATATATTCAAACCACACGAGGAGGATAGTTCTAGCCTTATTGAAATATTTACTCTCGATTTGGGCTCACTATGGTCAGCACTGATGAATAAGAGAAAGAGTTAATAACAGAGAAAATAAAAATATATTGCTTTGGAATGCGTGTTAGAATGCGTTTAA